CTGTCATTAACAGTTCCAATTGTTAGAGTACCTCCTGTAAATGTATTTTGAATACTAATTGAAGGTGATTTTTCAGATTCGCAATTCAACACCCAATCCCTAGCAAGTTTGTGATCACATAGCATGAAAACTTGGAGAATTAGTAATATTCTTAATTAGCATATCCCTAGTTTCATCTATTTTCTATCCCACCAGGTCGGCTTAGAAGGTCACCTGTGCCCCAATACTAGCTTCATGGCTTGGCTTAGAAGGCTTGAATGACGAAGAGCTTAGAAGGTCTTCAGCACGCCACCAATTTTTATATATTTATAACAACAATGAAAAAGTCCAATATTTCCTATATTTATAAAGCAGTTCCAGTGCTTTCTCACGCTTTGGGCCTTTCCTCAGTATTAACGATTTTCTCTAGGCACTTAACATAAAGACTTAACTTCGCTCTTGTTGTTTTCTTTTAAAACATCTTCAATATTCCATTTTGACAGCTTGTGATCAAAGTATTGATGCATTTTTTTTTTTTTTTTGAAAGTGTTTTTAGTATATACAAACGGTTTCATTGGCCAAATTTTATCAATCTTTCAAATCATCACACAAATTTAATTTTTTGACTGGTTTGAAATTTTTCTAAAAAATAAAAGAATTTATTTTCATGATAACATTCATGATCAATATATATTTTTCTTCATGTGAAAAAGTACAAGGTATGATGGAATTATTTGTGATAGTATTATTACCCATTAGTTGAAAAGGGGGGATATTGATGTTGATTTTTTTGATGATCACATAACAATAATTAATCACTTAACTGTAGACTGAATAACTATTATTTTGACAGAACTAACCATTGATTATGCAAGTTAACATGGAAAAGAATATGTTCGCCTAAATGTTAAAATGATGTTCAATTAATTGCGTTTTCTCTTTAATATTTGCTTTTGAAAAATTAAATGATAAAATGATAAACAAATAATACCCAATAACATTAAATATGCAAGTTAACATGGAAAAGAATATGTTCGCCTAAATGTTAAAATGATATTTCAATTAATAGAGTTTTCTCTTTAATGTTTGTTTTTGAAAATTTATCTAAAAATTAAAGTAATAAAATGATAACATGATAATAAACAATACCCATAACCATTATCTTGACAAATCAACCATTGAATATGCAAGTTAACATGGAAAAGAATATGTTCGCCTAAATGCTAAAATGATGCTTCAATAAATTGAGTTTTCTTGTTTTCAAAACTCATCTAAAAAAATTAAAGTTAATAAATTTGTTTGACTACCTACCTACTTTAATTTGGAATACTTGAAGGCAAAATCACCATGTCTCATGGATAAATTTAGATTTATAGTGATTGCCAACTGGCTTAATGTCCTCACTATCAAAAATTTGGTTAAATGTATGACTATTAATTTGTAGTCTTTCTCCAATTCTTTTGTTTGTCTGAGAAATAATGTCCTATTTAAATAGTATTGATCATAAATTATTATAACTCACATCATAATACATATAAACCTTTATTATAACAAGAATCACCCCTGTCTTACCAAACAAGATTTAAAAGCTTTTATCAAGCCTTTAAGGTTACTGATAAAACAAGCTTATTCTTAATTGATTATTTTTGTAAAGTTTACCTAAAAAAAAAATTTTAAATTATTTTAATTTGAATAAAATGTTTACATACATGTAGTGATTATTTCAAACTTTAGTTCACATCTAACTTATGATCTAGAAATGATCTTTTGATCTTATTTAATCTACTAGTATAGGAAAACATAACAAACGATTCTGTGCAAAAAAATTAATATGTACCTTAATAATAATTTTTTTGTATACATACACGTTTTTTTTCTATTTTAAAACAATTGAAATCACATGTTTCACAATTATAAAAAAGATCAACAATCGATTTTGTCACAAAGTGATAAAACGAGTGTTCATTATGCTTGTTTATATACAGTAATGATACAGTATGCTTATAACACATATGGCCCAACTTGGGCCGAGAAAATTCTATGCTTTTAGACAGGTTATGCTTATATACAGTATGCTTTTAGACAGGTTTTACTGTGTTTTTTTATTTTTGATTACCTATTACCAATTCGTCTTTTTTTTCTTTTACTGAATCGAATTCTTCCTCTTTTTTTTTTGCCAACGAGAAATCATTGAAGAATCAATAGTAAAGTGACACTAAGCTGGTCTTAAATCATATTGTTTTGCATATTGCAAAACTTGGAGCTTTTCAGCAACAGAATATGAAGACGTTTGACTTTTTGCAGGGAAAAAATTAATTAGAACTTTACACAAATGATGAAATAAGGAAACAAAATGTCTCGAATACAAGCAACACCGCAGTTTTGTCGACTAAAACGTGTCAAAATTGTGTTGCTTATATTCCAGACAGTATGGTATATATTTATTAAGAAAAATTACGATTATCATAAAAATAATGTCATTTTTTGACCTAATTCGTTTTGTAATAATAAAACTAACCAATTCTTTTTTTTGTTCAATAAAACACCTTTGTGGTGGAAGTTAAAACAGTGGAGTTTAATTGTTTGATTTTCACTCGCAGTTTAGGTTTCGCCAACTTCGCCGCAAAATTAGGCATAAACTATGGGTTAGTTCTGGCCATCATTCATTAGCCTTGTGACTTTAATTATGTATTGCGTCACGAAATGTCTTGAGTTACGTCTTGCGTCACGAATTGCGTCCTATATCTCTTGCATAATGAATGTGTTTTGCGTCACGCATAACACCAATTGCAGCTTTTAAACCACCATAACTGTTTTGACTTTTATAGTTAATTAATAAAATTTAGGCAAATAAACTTATTATTATCTAAATTTATCCATATGTTACAATTAGGTTGACCTGAATTGGTCCCCTGATGATATAATAATAACATGCAATTAAATTTCAGGAAGGAGCACAGTCCTGCAGTTTGTTAATTACATTGTTGTCAAAGAGAGTGTTAAAGCCTTTCGCTTGTCTGAAACCTTCCAACTTATAATTTGCCTTAACCTGTGGAGAGAATTATATAGCATGAGGCATGCATTGCATGACGCTTGCATGCTCATTGAAGGAAAATTTTATTAAATCTGGCACCTGTGATCAGGGTTTGCATGGGTATATTGACCTGCGCTTGTAAATCCAAATCCACCACCACTATATGCTGACAATAATCCATATACAATACCGATCAACAACTCCAACTCCACCATCTAAATCACCAACTTAAAATGATAATCAACCATCCCAAGCAAAATCATCACCAACCCAATTATCATTATCTGATTTTTATTGTCATAATAAATACAAAGTCACAATACACTTGAACATATTGGATAATCGTCAGGGTGTTGTCCAATGCAAACCTGCCTATCAAAATCAGGTTTGTTCATTTTATTTTAATTTTTTTATGGAAATAATTTTTAAGGAACTCTACAACTTGCATTTGTATACAATTGAGAAGCACTCACATGCAAGAAAAGGGGACAAGTAGAAATGTGATCGCTAAAAAATTTTCACAACACCCATGGATGGAATCATTATCCTACATGGAAAATAAGATCAGATCAAAAGATCAAAGGTTTATTTTCCGACTTTTCCAAATTTTAGTTCCTTAAATTTCATTTCTGCCATAGTCTTGGGTAAAAGAAGGTTGTGGGAGAAACTCTTACAGGAATCAATTGACAGAGTTTCGACAGGTTACACATTAATTGTTTATTAGAGTTTCGGCAGAGTTTCGCATTTGGGAATTTTGTTAATCGTCAGAATTTTGACAAGGCATATACTAATTGTTTATTAGGGCTTCGACAGAGTTTCGACAGTCACTAAGAGGTTTCGGCAAGCAACCTTAGTCTTGGAAATACCAATGTGTGGTTATGATTTAAATAATAATAATAATAATTGACGATCCCTTTGTGAATGGCAACGGAGAAATCCGTGGTTCTATTATTATATGATATACTAATATACTAATTTGATGATATCCCATTCTGATTCATTGTGTCAAATTGGATTTTATCAATCTTTTTTATATTTTTAGTATTTTAGAGCAAATGATCCATGACAGATATATTTATTCAACAATTTATCTTTCCAAATTTGGAATTTCTAAATATTGTATAATAATAATAAACAATTTTAAATTAGATTGTTTACCACACACAACACCAAACTAAAGACCAAATAAACATACATACGAATATGCATGCTTAATACTCCTCATCTAAGTAGTTGCTCGCCTAATAGAGCTGTGCCACTTTATTTATTAATAATAAAATTAAATTTAAAAGGTAGGACAAAGATTGGTCACGGGAAAAGTTTTCATAACATGAAGAAATTATTAAACAATGTATTTTAAAATATGTATAAAATAAATTCTAAATAAATAAAACCAACAATCTTTTGCGTTAATATATATAAAAAAAAAAATCAATAAAATCGTTTATATTCAACGAAATAATATGTCATATTATTTATATTATTATATTGCTATTACTGTTATTATCCGATTGGAACGAACATTTGACCTGTGCAACCTTACGAGTAGCTACACTAATATCAAGGTCACTAAAGAAACTCAACTTTGACACTATTTACTACCCCATATCAATATCGAAATTTGAATAGGTATTGCACTAAAATTTTTAAAATTACATTTATTCTTTTAGTATTCTTTTTTTTATTGCAACTTGAGAATATATTTTTAATGTTCCTATTGTGATTTTTTATTAGGTTACAATCATTCCAATTGTTCCTCAAAATGATTACGAAAGCAGCACTTGCACATTCGTTGATGGTTTGTTTAATCTGACACTTGATGTTTATTTTTTCCTTAATTAATTCATTTTCTCAATATATGATCTTTTTGGACTACGAATTCAAACTGCGATTATATAATAACTCCTATCTCTGCGGACAATTTTTATATGTTTGCAGATGATTATGAAATTACCAAATGTATAATATGATTTTTTTGTGGTATCACATGATAACCGTAAACTTGGGTTCAAAATTTTATTATTATCATTATATATTAATATTTATATTAAATAATATAAAATTTTGAAACTCAAAATGATTGGGCCCTTTTACACGCATCATTTGAAAATCATACGATATTAATTCATTTTAATTAGACAACTGTTGTTATTTACGAAAAAATTCCCCAGAT